TGGTCAAAAATTGAATTACCGTTTCTCCATATTCAATGGGGAGAAAGTCGAAAATTTTAAATGGAACGCCCTATATTTTATTAGCCTACACGAAAGGGAATTTAATTCTCTACAATTTATCTATAAACATTCCTATACTTATTTATTGTAGTTTCTCTCATATTCGTAAATTTATCAAAACATGCAGAAAATGCAGGAAACCGTTTGTATTTTTATTAGAAGGCCATAACATTTTGATAGTTTTTTGCTTAATTTATTTCTATTATGGAATGTTTATAGATAAATTGTAGGGAATTAAATTCCCATTCGTGTAGGCTAATAAAATATAGGGCGTTCCATTTAAAATTTTCGACTTTCTCCCCATTGAATATGGAAAAACGGTAATTCAATTTTTGACCAGCCTGTATAAGATACTCTGATACAACATCTATTTGAGAGCATCCGCCGAGTAATCGTGCCAATTTAGAGCTTTTTTGAATGAACGTTGGCTGGGATATAGGGTTTTAAAGTGCATGATGAAATTTGCCAAAAAAACCTTAAAATCAAAATAACTCGAAAACGAAAAATGCTAGGTACCAACAACTTTTATCAAAGTCAACATATTTTTTTATGTATAATTGAAAGATGTAATAAAAACTATAGCATCCCATTTAAAATAACGAAGTTGTGGTCTACTTCCGGTAGACCGGAAGTGGTGGCCATCTTGAAAATATTTTAGATTGAAAGTTTAGAATGAACAACCCATACTACCAAAATTTCAAAACTGTACGAATAGTGGAACCTAAAAAAGTTCTAACGAACCAGTTACATGAGACACCCTGTATAGTTAGCCGAGGTCGCTTGCGGCCGAGGCATTTTTGATTATACAACACATATTCTGATACCTTAGCCGCAAGCGACCTCGGTTTAACTTTGTCGGAAAGATTTTTTGTATACTTAAGCCGAGGTCGCTTGCGGCCAAAGCATTTTAAATGATTAAACAGCACATTCTGGTGCCTTAGCCAAAAGTGACAATTTCAATTAAAAATGGAGTATTACAATTAAAACATTGTAATTAATTCCTTCACGCTATAATTGAGGTTTCAAAAGAAAACTGACCAATCCCAACATACCCAATATTTTTGTCAGAGTTAATTGAAATTTGTAAACAAAACTAACCTACCTTAACTTTTCTTTGCTTACTATGTTAAAACACATTCTTTGATATTTAGCTGAAACTGTGTAGAACGGGAAAATAAATTGTATGCATCGATTTAAAAACATTATTTTACATCATAATGCTAATATATGGTTATCACTATAGCAATGTCAACTTTTAAATATGTACTACAATCGTTATAGAAAGAATGAGAAGAATTTTGTTAATTGTTCAATAACTATAAGAAATATACCCAACAATTGTTGCTACCCAACATTTATTATCAGAAGAAAAAACTAATTATTATTATGATGGTTGTTTTCGCAAATTCTTCACTCTTCAATGTTTCTCATCGGGATTTGAGCCTGCTTAATCTTAGATAAATGTCGATTTTTATAGTTAAAATAGTTCGATTAGTTACATTATCAAAAAAAATGCTTTTCAGGTTGATACTGAGTTCACAGTGATTAATGTTCAGTAGTTAGTTAGAACAACTACAAGTCAATTTTTTAACATCCATCTTCGGCCCATTTAAAAAGAAATTTTCGACAACTCTATTTCTAATCACTAGGGCACGGAACTTTTGTAACAAAACGATACGATTTCCCCCCTCCACTCGTTCTGATTAAAAGAACAGCATACTGTTCAGTGGGAAATTAAAACTTCAAGTTAGAAAAAAATTGTGTTAACAAAAATTGTTCCTGAAACAATTCTTAAAAAATATTGTTAACAAAATTTTTTGATTTAATCAATAGTTAAGGAGATAACCTCAAAATAATAATTTTCCGATTTTATACATAATTACACTTGGATGCTTAATTAATAGAGATGTAAATTTTTTTTATTAAGATAATTGATTCAAAATCGAAATTGAAACAAATTTTATTTAAAACATTTTTTGATA